CCGATATACACAGAGAGAAAAAGAGGAGAGAATATATATATATATATATATATATATATATATCTAAAATTCAAGAAGATTGGTTATTAGAAAATATAATAGATGAACCAAAAATTTACAATACTCACGTTAGAGAAATAGTTCAAGAAGAAACGGATATTAGGTTAAGAATGAATAGGTCAAGATCTTTAAGGACTAATTTACCACAAATGATTTATAAAGGAAATAGTACCAAACATTTTGTAGATGGCTCCACTATCAATATAGATTTAACCAAATTAGATACTAATTCTAAAATAACAAGACCTGTTTATGAAAATATTCAACATGAAGAAGAAGATGATTTTAATCTTACTCCTTCTCAAGTTCTTAATACTATTACAAAACAAGAACCATTTCAAATTGATAAAGAATCGATTAATCAAGATTTTAAAGCAGATTACAATAAAGAATTAAGAAAATGGTATTTTGCAAATTTTACTCAAGAAGAAACTATTAAATTTAGAAATTTATATTATTCTTATATGGAAGAAAATGAAATCAATATTTATTTCTTTGATTGGTTAAAAGATTATTGCAAAGAAATAATATTATTAAATCAATAAATCCTTTAATAAAAACAAACAAAACTTGGAAAACAATAGATAATAAAATTATTATTTCTGAATATCCACCTATGCCTACTGTTAAAATAGAAGTAGAAAAACAAGAAATAGAAGCAAGTCCTTATAAAACCATTAATGAATCAGAACAAGAAGTTAATAAAAAAGACATTAAAAAAATTCATAATCAAATAAATTTTTCCAACAGTATGTTAGAAACTATGTCAAAACAACTGACAAGAATAGAAGACAGGGATACTCCGTCTAGTAGTATAGTTACCAGTATTCCAAAACCATTAGTTAAACCAATATATCAGTTAAATACACATATAGATTCATTAAAGTTAGGAAGTGAAAGTGATTCAAAAATTGAAGAAATAAAAGATTTATTATCTAAATTAACATTAGGAAAACCTTCAATCAATACCATAGACACAAATGACTTTTCAGTTAATAAAATTAAGACTCACTATCCAAAAATAAGAACTTATTATCCCAGGCCTTCTCTGGCAGATGTTCTTTACGAAGAACGAGGAGAATTAGTACAAAATTGTTATTCAGGAAGTGATATAGTTGAATGGAATATAGATGGTATGAGTGAGCAAAATTTACTAGACCATATTTGTATGATGTCTATGGCAACTAGTTCCTACGAGAGAAGAGAAAACTCTGACAAGGCCACCGCCTTAACAATAGTTCAAGGATTTACTGGCCAACTTAAAGGTTGGTGGGATAATTTTTGGACACAAGCTGATAGAGAATCAATATTAAATGCAGTAAAATTAGAAACTGGTGAAGAGGATGCAGTTGCTACCCTCATTTACACTATTATTCAACACTTTGTAGGAGATCCCAATACTTTTAAAGATAGAGCTGCTAGTCAACTAGCAAATCTCTATTTTCCAACAATGTCTGATTACCGATGGTATAGAGACATATTTATGTCCACGATTACCCTAAGAGAAGATGGTTTTCAAGGATTATGGAAGGAAAGGTTCCTTGCAGGATTACCAAAACTATTTTCTGAAAAGGTCAAGATAAAATTAAAAAGTCATTTTGGTAAACCAATACCCTTTAATACCCTTACATATGGTCAAATACATAGTATTATTATTGACACCAGAATACAAGTCTGTAATGACTTTAAACTCCAAAACAAACTTGAAAAGAAGCCGGAACTAACAAGAGAGAAATAGGAAACTTTTGTGAACAATATGGAGTAGAACCTATTAGAGCACCTAGTGCAGTTAAGAAAAAAGCCTAGAGAAAACAATTTGTTTCTCAAAAGCCTTATCAAAAGCCCTATAATAATTACAAAAAGCCCTACAAAAAATCTTTCAAGAAAAATAAAAATTATCTAAAGAACTTTGAAAAGTCCAATATTAGTTCAAAGCCCAAAACCACAAAAAAGAATGTTACATGTTGGAAATGTGGATCAGTTTCGTGCTGGGCGCGCATGTTTTGTAGATCGGCGGCGTGTTGCTGCCGCATCTGTTCGACCTGATCGATCAGCCTCCTTAATGTCGCTTCACTATCCATGGTAGTTGTATGATCTGCGTCGTTTGTCGCGCGTTTGCTATGGCTTCTGGTGCAAACCATAAGTGTGGCCGATAAGAGCTGTCTTGATCGGCCCCACGGTGGACGCCAAATGTTCTTACCGAAAATCTGCTGTAGAGATGATCCTCCGAGTAAGATTGGTGAGCCTCCTTCGCTGGTACGCTTGATGCTCCAAGATGGGGGTGGTACCTGCAAAAGAGACTCCGATGCTAAAGTTAGTGTTTGTGGGAGTGTGAGTCTCGTATAAGTAATGCACGTACCTTTGTGTGTATTAGGGTTTCGTTGGGCCTTGGGCCCGAGATCAGTTTATGACCTATTTGGGTGTAGGGCTGACGTGGCCTAGCGCGTGTCCGAGGTCACGTCGCGCTGTGATGTCGAACTCGAGCTCGGCATAGCGGTACGGATAGTACAGTTATAAAATATAAATTATTGTTAAAATTGTTAAAATTAAAAAATTATAATTTGCATCATACTTCGTACGAATATAAATACTAATACAAGATACTAAAGCTACAAATAATTGAGCACCTCAAAATCATGGCATGTCTCAAAATATTTAAGATTTTATACAGATTAACTAATTTCAAAGCAGTAAAAAACAGTAATTTGATTCCATTGTTTTAGAAGGATCTAAATTAATTTACTAAGAAGGACATCAAATCTTATCATTTAGCTAACCCACTTTATTTACAATTAATATAACTGACATCGTATAATCGAATAATTGATTGATTCATACACCGGATCAAAATATAACTTGTAGATATAACCTATAAAAAATCCATCAAAAGGTGAACAGTTGCCAATTTTAATAGAAAAATGTTGATCATGTAGTATTAAGATGTCAATTAGAAATAATCATTAATTAATTGAAACGGGGTTGTCTAGAGGGTGGGTGATAATTCCCTCTAAAGTGACAAACTAAGATTTATGTTTTTATGGAAAAAAAAATTCATATTTAGTGTCGAATTATATTTCGAACAAGATTATTTCTGAAAGAAAATGGCTATGAAAAAAAATAGCTAATCAATTGAAGGGTTACATGTCTTGTTAAGTTATCATTTTTCAGAAAATATTTTGATTTGAAAATTTTATATAAAAACGACTATTATACGAGTTAAAATCATGTTAAGAAAAATAATGTATTTATCGTGAAAATATAGTTGATGTCTTATTAAGTTATTTTAAACAATTATTTTTAGCTTTTGGTACACCCCAAACATATATGATATACCAAGTAGGTAGATATAAATATTCCGAAATGTAACAAAATTGAATCTTATAAAAATACCATTGGACTTGTAAGGGTAAAATATAGGAGCCCAAACACATTTAAAATTGGGCCGGAAGGGTGGCCCATGAAGAAGCGTGGCCTTTGGTAGATAGTAGATACAAATGATGGATGCCCTCATCGCCCGTGATTCCCCTCGACGACCGTCTTCGCCTGCGTCTCTGGTGAGTTCTCTCTTTTCTCTATTATTGTTTGAGATCTTCAAACCCTAGCACAACACGTTTCACACCTTTTAATTCTTCTTCTTTCTAACGGTAATAATTTATCCCAATCACTGTCCCACGAAATTCTTGTCCATTCCGGTCACTTTTTAATTTGGGATAACATTTTGGGGGAAAAACCGGTAGTCGGGTTCAGATTGAAATTTTAGTCGTGAAACATTGAAGCATTATATTGGAAAAATATTGGTGTTCATCGTGATCAAATCTGGTTAGAGACAGAAATAGTTTGTTTTAGGATATGCGTATGTTTGATTTATGACTTGGGTCATTGGGTTGCGCCTTATGGGATTTTCTGTGTTATTACTGAACCAAACGAAGCTATACCGAGCTGATACTTTGGTGTTTGCTTTTGAGAATGCATAGCTATAACTTTCATTTCTTAGTTTCGTTTTAATGGTCGATGTAGTCATTGTGGATAATTGTTTGTTTTTGTTGGGAATGCAACTGTCAGCATTTATGATTTGTTTGGTGGGCTACAGTTTGGTTCTACATGATAAACAGGAGTGAAAGTGAATATTTAGGGGTCATTCCTGAAAAATTTTACTCCGTTTTTAATGGTGTGCCGAACTTACTTGGGGGTATACGAGGGGCAATGGCTCCTGCGTTCCTCTCCCTTTTATGATTAAAGAGAAACCTCCAACAAATCAATGAAATGTCTTGGTGTCTCTTCTCTTCTACTTCCCTTTGCTCTCTTCTTCGTTCATTCTCTTGAATCAAAGCATAATATGATATCAGATGGGTTAAGATTAATTGGCCTGTTTTAAACTGTATCCAAGTTTTATATATTTAAATATTTACAATCCAATGTTTTGTAACTTGTAGAATTCACAAGCTTAAATACAAAGACTTAAATGGCTGGTCCTAGGATTGCCCATGCTACCTTGAAAGGCCCAAGTGTGGTCAAAGAGATATTAATTGGAATAACCCTCGGCTTAGCTGCTGGTGGTGTGTGGAAGATGCACCACTGGAATGAACAGAGAAAAACCAGGACCTTCTATGATTTATTGGAAAAAGGTGAGATCAGTGTTGTTGCAGATGAAGCGTGAGAGTGTTCCTGCTTTGCTGCCTATGCTCTTCATTTATAGGCTTTTTTTCCCGTGCTATATTTAATTGGCTCTTTAAATGTAAATGAGCCTACTTACTATGAGATTGAAAGGAATAAGTTTCTTGCACTGATTCATTACTATGTTGGCTTGTAAAATTTTATGCAATTATGTTTAATATTGTGATTGGGTTATTTTCTTGTTGTTGCACAGGTGTATATGATTTTTTTACCCTAGATTTTTTGTCATTTGTGTTCACAATTAAAACAAATCCTTTTGAAAGTTGCTAGATGCCTAGATGCAAATCATGCAATATAATTGTAGGATCATTGGTGGTAAGATAATATTATGTTAGCATGTGCTATTGGCTTGAGCTTGACATATAACATTAGTATAAATAAGTGTATTAGGTCAGTGTTTTCTGTTTTTCTTTCCATCTTATCCCTATATTTCAACACCATATTACCATCTGGCTTATGTAAATAGGTATCACTTTGTCCAGGATATAAAATCCGTCTCAAATGTGGTATATTCCAATTCCAGGGCTGGACTATATAAGCTGTAAATTTCTCTGTATATGTCTTCAAGGATGGTGAGCCTTGGTACAAAAGTAAGGTTTTGCCTTAATGTCTTGGAGGTTGTGGGTTTAAATCTTGGAATCAACCTCTCTTGCGAGAGTAAGACCTTGTATATTTTACCTTCAAATCACACATGGTGCGAGTTTCATACATTAGTCTGCCCTTTTTAGTATATGGCTTCAAGTTTGTTTATTTTCCCAAAATGGAAGGTAGTTGGCTGGCGTTAGCTGTTGGGGAATTGTTCTCCATCTATTAGTGATAAAATTGCTATGGTGTTTGTCCAGCTATTTTGAGGAAAACATTTCAATGTTCCAATTTTGTTGACCAGTGATATTAGAGATATAATGTTATTTGTTATACATAAGCCTTCACCAAACAGCTTGGGCTTTCCAGAGATTTGGAGTCTGACATCAGACATGGTATTGGAGTTTCCTTGATTAAGTGATCAAGTGTTCATCCCTGATATAACTATTCTTCTAATATTTAGTTGTATTTCAACACACCAAAGTGGGGGTTGTTCTTTGTTCACACTTAAGGTTTCCAGCCCTAGGGATCTTCTGTTGCATAAGGGCTTGTGTTGGGAATATGGGAAGATCATAATAAAATTTACCAAATAGTTTAAGCTTTTAGGATAGTCGGTTGTTAATGAGAATATGTTGGACGTGACCGTATATGTTCACTGCATTGCTTCATTTTCTCAAAAGGATTAGAATGTAAAATTTCACCAAATTCTTGGCTTTCAAGCCTAAAATATTTGATCTTTGATGTGATTTCTGAAGATGAACAAGTACTAGTGCATTTTAAACTTTGAATTTGTTATCAAATTCCGATCCTCAGTTCTTTCAATGTGATTAGAAGTTGTTAACAGGTTTGTCTGACCTGCACAACCAATGAGTAAAGGAGGTTGGTCTTTCATTTTTGGATAATGATGCATGAACGTCCCCATTCTGTTGACACTTAGATGGAGAAATGGTGGATGCTGTTGCTAATGTGGTGTTTGTAGTATAGGGGTGTCCATTTTTCAATACTCTTCATTATTTGGGGACTATTCCATAACTGCAAGCTATAATTGATTTTTGTGGTTATGTTTTGACAGCAAGTTTTTTATAATCGGCTAGAATATCTCGTAAATGACTTTCTACAAAGGCTTTGTAACAGTCTGACAGAAATGGTAAAATCATGAGAATATTCCTCTATTCAGTGAGATCTGGGGATTTGTTCTAAAACCATGTGTTGAGTTGACATTTTGTGTCCTGTTATTAATACATCATTGAAGAAAAGATAACAGAACAACAGTTGAACTGATTTTTATGTTTAAAGGGCACTAGAAGCATCAATGGGAAAAGTAGATTATACGGTTTTCTGTGAATTTGGCCTTTAAACGAGGTCCATGGCGTGTGATCCCTCTGAATTTCATTTAGTGAATGACTTTTGTTATTGATGTTTTGCACACAATGTATGTGTTAAATGCTTTGCTTTATGTATTATCTTTTATAAAAAAAAAAGGTGTAAATTGCGAGCTAGGTTGTGTGTATTTTAAAATGATTATGTAAATTGCGGAAGAGTTCTTGTGTGTTAAACGACTGCTTGGTTGTGGGTTGTGCCCCGCAAAAAACTTTCTTTGCGCCGACGATGCCTTTTGAAATGCCTGTATCGCTTTTTGGATCTCATTATGTTCTAACGATTACTTCATTTGGGAGAAATAACCATAAATGGTATAGACCATTTATGCATTTGAATGAAAATCTGGACTTTTTTACGCATCTGATTTTTTTGTACCAAGTTTTAAATGGTATAAATGGCGGGTTACAAGGTTTTTAAACGATTTATCTTCCATATCGACGAGTGACCTTTGATTATTAATTAGACATTTCCTGAGTTTATCGTTGGTAGTTTAAGAAATAAAGCTTAATTTTGGATTTAATATGTCTATCTAAATATTTTAAGTGTGTAGTTTTTAAAGTCAAGATACCTTTCGATTTATTTCTCTCGGTGAGGACGTTTTCAATGATCATCTCCTGCATCATGCTTATCATATTCGAGAATTATCGTTCGTGTTTAAGTTGTACGTGTCCCAAAAGAGTTTACATTTTGAACAAACACGCAAGTAATAGATATAGACTCCGTTTTCTAACTATCTCGCTTGTAATATTTTGCGGCAAATATCAGAACATGTGGTTGGCTAAAATACGAGCGTGTCGATAGACGACCGATATTTTCGCGTCCAAACATAACATTTTTCTACTAAGAGCAGGAAAATATCAAGATTTTTATGACTATCCCAAAATTGTTGAACTTGCTGATGAAAAACAAAAATGAAATATCTCTTGTACTAAAAAACAAAAAAGTTAACATAGATTGGACGTGGAAGGCAACAAGTGGTTCTCCCGAGATAAGTAATGTGCGTACGCAAATATTCAGAAGCAATAGTTATATATCCGAAGCTATCCCCTCCCAAAACCTCTTCATTCCAACACTGAAATCCAAAAGCAAAAAGAATGGCAACAATAGCTGGTAGTGTGAGTCTTCCAAGTCCTAGCAGAGTAGTTGCGAAAGCAGGATCAGAAAAGGTCCGGGCCGTGAGGTTCCCAGCGCTATCAAGGCCCATTGAGAAGTGGCCCGGTTTGGTTGGGAAGTTTAGGGCCCGGCCCGTTATGGCAACGCCGGAAAAGATATCCTCAAAGGTGGAGGAGAGCATAAAGAGCGCGGAGGAGGCGTGCGCGGGAGGCGCCGATGCGGAATGCGCGGCGGCGTGGGATGAGGTGGAGGAGCTGAGCGCGGCGGCCAGCCACGCCAGGGACAAGCAGAAGCAGTCCGACCCTCTTGAAAACTACTGCAAGGACAACCCCGAGACCGACGAGTGCCGCACTTACGATAACTAGTTTCACCTTTTCCATTTTCCATTTACATGCTTCTCTTACCTTCTGTTACATCACATACCCTCTATTAATCAATTTTTATTTCTAAACTACATACTCAACCACTCATCACACTCCCTCTTTTATCTATATACTATAAATATCTCTATATTCATATTCATATTCATAGTATTTATCACAAAAGCTTTGCATGTTGCAACTTAACCATAATTATATTACTTTACAACTTCAAAACACTTGAGCTTGCTTCCAGTTTTCACCAAATACAAATGACTTCAAGAAGATTCACTGATTCCAATAATAATGGATCATGCTAATGTCGCTAAAATAGTTTATAATGGAAAAAATCTGCTAAAAATTATCAGCCTTCCCTTCCATGGTCTAAACAGTTTTATATTCAGATTGCAGACCAACTCTTCCTTTTTCAATTCCGTCTATGCATTAATCCTTTCAAATTAATACATGGCCAAACAAAGGAGTATAATAACGTTAAATTACCAACCTCAATATGCTCATGAAATTTCGAAGAAGGGTTCAAGATTTAATGTATTGTCTTCACTTGTATCGTACAGCTGTGGAAAAACAAAATAATAATTATTGTTTAGATTTATCAAGTTATTAACCATCAAATATATTACTCGCAAATTTGTAGTCTTAATATTGAGAAGAAGTACCTATATTTAATATCTCATATGTCTTGAATACAATTCATTTTCTAAAAAAATATGGACAAAATTTACGTATAATTTTTTAAATATGATTGATATTATTTTCTAATCTGAGTTAGAATTTTATCTCAATAATATGTATACATTAAATATATTTTTATAATACTAAAATAAAACTCCAACTTTAATTAGAAAACAATATCAATCATACTTAAAAAGTTATAGTTAAATTTTATCCAAAAGATATTTGTAGGAGAAAAAAAAAATATATTTGTTACATTCAACTGGACATTTTGTTTATTATTATTCAATACTAACTTAATATAATCAATAAATAGTTGAACTATTGAGCATATTAGTTAAGATTCAATTGATAACTTTGTGACTAAAAATTAATATGTTAATAAGTATTGACATAGATTAACCAATACGAGTTATTTTAGTTTAACTAATAATTTTGAATATATTAATATTCAACTACATTAAATACTTAAAAGGAAATTTTGTCATCCATAATTATCCTATTGATTCAAACAAAGTTGAGTTTATGAAAATAAATTTGAGGTTTAAGATGTAATCCTCCAAAACATGCACACATTACAATAAAAAAAATTCTCTAGTAATCTAAATTCAATTTTTGAATTTGTAGTTTTAACCTATTTTCTTTTGGTTAACCCCAGAAATAGAGACAGAGAAAAGAATCACTAATATCCATATGAGAGAAGAAAAAAAAGATCCTTATGAGAAAAAGGATTAATGTGGTTCTCATAAGACATGTGGGGCCAAACCACATGATCATGAAAAGGATTAATGTTCACATGTTCATATGAGAAATTTTTTTTTTGTTAACTTAGTTATAAATAACAACAACCATATCTCATTTTGAGGTTGGCAAAATGAGTTGAATTTCACTTAATTAAAGTGATAAAGTGAGTACTATAAGTTAACTTTGTTTATGAAATCAACGGATTGTAAAAATATTTATCTTATTTTAAAAATATTTTCTTAACTACGTGTTTATTTTAAAGTTAATATTAAATTTTCAAGAATTATATTCTCAAGAATATCATTACTAAGAATTTTATTCCAAAAAGTATTTAATAATGTGTTTAGTTAGATTTTAATATTCTAATAAATACTTTTAAATTTTTAAAAAGTTGAAATAAAAAATAAGAATTAAAATGGAAGATATTAGCAAATTGAAAAATAACTTCTCACATTCTTGTGAGATACAAGAATCTAACTTTTTCATCCCTCGTCAATGAAATAAAAATATATATATATATATATATATATATATATATATATATATCTATTTATATATATAACTACTTTTATAAAAATGAATAATACTCAAGATTTTCTTTATTTAAAAAAATATGAGAATATTACATTTTTCAAGGTTATATATTTAAAAATAACTTTTTAATCCTTAAAACAAACATTGGACAATCCATGTCAACTTTTTTTTTCTAATTTCTTTTTATAAATATCTTTAATGTAACGACTTGTCATATCTTTTACACTTTGTAAATCATGCAACTATACTAGTCGACCAAGATAATCATTAACTAAATAATAATGCATTTATGGATATACGAGTAAAATAAATAAAGCTCTTATTTATATATACAAACCATCCAATATAATATATATATATATATAGTCATCCAAAAATCATGATAATGTCTTAGTGCCGGTCAAACTCTATAACTAATACATCATATGCCAATACGATATCAAGACCAAAATCTCACACCTTCATAGCGGTCATCATAGCTCCGAGCTAGCCCTAACCTACTCTTATACAAAGTATGATCATCGCAATCCACCACATGGAAACATAAGGGTAAGCTAGAGTTCAAAATTCTACATACAAGCAAACTAGTCCACATCTATGTTATACAATCATCATATCACCCAACATATTCATAGAGTCAAACAATGCACTCTATCATACAATAATCATGTAATAAATGCAACTCATGATAGATATCAATGCATACCAATCATCTAATGCGTCGTCATACATTCACCTAGGAGATCTCCTTAACAATAGAGCAGTATAAGTGACATCTCATCCTACCGAAATCACCCCAACTATTTTCACACCTAATGCGCCCGTCCAGTTACAACAAATCGGGATATTAATCCCCACTCGGGTTTCTCGGATGATGTCGTTTACACACTTGGAAGTCTGGTTCTACCTTCTGGAATAGTACAACTGGGTATAGGTTTACCACGACCTTAGTATGCATTACCAAGTCACTTATGGATTTCGCCCACCGTCTATCTGCTACGAACCACACAACCTTCCCTAGTACTTAGTTAAGGGAATAACCCTCTACCTCATACCCCACTCCAACACTAACTAAGGACTTAGAGAAGACTCACCCAAACCAGTGGCTTATCCAAGCACCACTCTCACCCAAAATCAGTGGCCTATCCAAGCACCACTCTCAAGAAACTCTATGTGAGCTTTTCTAGTTCAAAAACATTTTTTCCTCTCCTCAGGTTTAGGCTGGTCACATGCCATAAGACATCACATGCAAACAATGCATCATACATCATACATGGTCAGTCCAACACTATGATCAATATCATCCTCATATAAACATAAATACATATCATATCATGCTTAAACATTCATATATATCGTTACCAAGCATACATATGAATCAAGCACCAATTTACATCATATATCATACATAAAGAGTTATACTCATCTAAATAAGTTCAAACCTATCTCAGAAGAAAGATAAGAGGATAATTTACAACTCTTATGAAGACATGAAATTCCAAATAAATCATTTAATTAGCTAAAAATGTCAAAAACTACAATGGATATAATTAATGTTGACAGCTTGACCCGTGTTCACTAAAACAATCATAAATGGAGTTCTAAACCTCATTTTTAGGTGATTCCAACGCCATTGAAAAGTTAACATCCAAGGTTATAACTTTTAAGCAGAATATTAAAGTCTAATTCGAAAAGCATCAAATCGCTCAGCACCTCCTCCTAAAGCGCTTAACGCTTTGCTTCCATGGATTCTCCCCTGTCATGCGAGCTCCAAAGGGCTTAGTCCTTTAAAATGACTCAATCGTTTAAAAGTGCTCAACCCTTTAAAATGGCTCAGCCATTTGATGACAAAAAGCATCATGTTCTTCACCATTTTTGGATCTCCACACCTAAAACTTAGAAAAATTCCACATTCAATAGAAGAGATAGCACCCATGCACTAAAAATAGTTCAATTCAAGTTCTAGAAACAACATGCAGTCATTCGATGCATCAAAATCAACCAAAACCCCATTTTAGCCAAAAACCCCAAAATGGGAAAAAAAAACCCTCAAATCAACAAATCAATCACCAATTCATGCATCAATTGAGTTTCTAAACTCACATGCAACCAATCTATCACAATCCTAGCTTTCCTTACCTGAAAATTGGCTCAAAACAGCCAAAAAGAGGAAAAAGGAGAAGAATTTTCAAACAGTCGACCCGTATGCTTCAATCTGCCAAAATCAAGCTTTCTAACCTGAATTCAAAGAAGAGATAGAAGAGATTAGTGATCTAGAGAAGAAGGAGAAGAATCAAATAGAGAAATTTGAAGAGAAAGAAGCTCACGGACCCAGAGCCCTTCTCTCTAAATTTTCTTTGAGAATGAGCTTATGAGGTTCCGTTCTCATAAAAAGCCTTATATACTCTTATCTCTAATGTTAATTAAACACTAAACAATTAAATTACTATGTACAGTGTTTCATTATTCTTCGTGACTGTTATTTTTTATTTGTACTTATTTTATTCTTTGACATTTTGTTTTGAAAAATTGCAAAATTTAATTCAAAAGGAGAATTTTATTATCTATAATGATCTCATGCAACTTAATAAATTGCTCCCAATAAAAAATACGTGCAGTATATAAAAAAAAATTACAAAATTCAAAAGAGTGATGTATTTGATAAAATAATAATAAAAAAAGGGATGTACAAAAGAAACTCCTTTCATTGACCATATTTTCCATGTTAACAAATGGCCTTTGTTCGGCAGCCACACGGGCTAGCCTATCTGTGTCGGCCCATCCCCTTGTTTTTGGCAAACTATTCACTAAATTATTTTAAAATATTTATTAATATTTCAATATTTAATTACGACAAAGAAATGTACAGTATTTTTAGTCCATTCATAAAAATTATGAAATGAAGGTACCCAATCATTATCACTTTATATTGTTTTTTATCGCAAAATTTTAAACAAATGAAAGTGTTGCCTTGTTTTAAAATTGAAGCATGGCATTAGTCAGATATTTAATTATATAGTATTTGATATGCGGGTGCATCGAGGTCGATATTCATCTTTGCTAACCAACAAAGAAAAAATTTGACAGGTCAATTTGGCCAACCATGGAAAGTGAAAATGTCTTTGCTTTAAAACAAAGTGGTTGGTCCCATTAGGAGACACATTTTTTAATCAAGATCTTTTCCTTACGAACCTTCTAGGTTATTGCAATCAAGCAAACCTGCATAAGCCACAAATCATCGAGAAATAGCAAAGGAATAATCGGAATCAATTCAAAGATACCCCCTTGTTTTTATATTTAATATTGTTGTGACTTATAATATTAATTTTAAAAATTATTTAGTTACTTTTATATTTTAATTTTATTTTCAGTCAAAATTTAATTTTCTAATTTTTTTAATGAAATAATAGCTTACAAATATTTAAATAATAATTCATCTACATATTTTTAAATTTTATAAATTTTTTATTTAACATGTATATCCAAATATGATCTCTATTTAAATTTTAAACACTTACATAATAAGCTCTTATATAAAAATTTATTAAAACAAATCTTAAAAAGTTACTAATCAAACGGTTCGTTAATGATTTTGAATAATGTGTGGAAGCATTACGTAGATGTAAAATTATCTTATCCCTTTAGAAAACTTCTACAAGAAGTTTTTATCTGTATTCATTAGAGACTGCGCCTATCTATCTATATGGTCTTAGGTTCCTAAACAATTATATTTTCAGTCCAAAAAGTCACGCCAAGGGGCCATTATCCTTTTAATCGAATTTGGGACAAACAATCCGTGGCAGATCCTTTGTCCAGTGTCCATACCAACTATATCGTCGTCTTCTACCTCATGCTCATCCACAATTTTTGTAATTTTAAACAGAAATGTAACTTATTTAAATGGCGACACGAGTATAAACCAAAAGTAATATATAGTGCAAGACATAATCGGCAACCACTATAAGAATTTAACAAAGCAGATAAATACATTAAACATAAAACAGAACTGCATACACATAACACAAAAATCTAAAACAAAATGCACACCAACACACTATCACTCATTAACACCACCGTTCCCTTTCTTTATTCACCAACCACACGAGGGAACATCAACAAACCTAACACACACAAAACCTAATCGAACAGTCAAGCAAACAGGCCTTGATTTCCATGGAGGAACATGTCCGGCGACGCCATGATAGGGTGAGGGATCTGCCAGGGCTTCAGGAGAGGGTCCGGAATCTGCGGGATCTCAACGGAGAGGCCGCTAACCTCTTCAGCGATCTCCAGAATGGAGTTCAGGAACCGCAACCGGTCCGCGAGCTCCGTCGTCTGAGCTCGGAGGATGTCGTTGGCGGCTTCCATCTCCACGTACGCTTCCTCCTTCGCCTTTATGCTCTGCACCATACGCTCGTTCGCGACCTGCAACCGGCTCGCTTCGTCGGTGAGGTCTTCCAGCTGCTTCTGCTTCCTCATCCGCGATCTCCTCGCCGATTGGCGGTTCGACTCCATCCGCTTCCTCTTCCTCTCGTCCATCGCCGGATCTCCGCCTTCCGACGATCCCGAACTCGCAGGGCGCGGAATCGAAGACATGTTGAACGGAATCGAATTGGAATTTGAAGGTTTTGTCTAAATTAGGGAATTAGGGTTTTGGAAATCTAATTAATGGCTATAGAGGTGAGAAATGTAAAAAAGAGGGAAAAATTGAAGGGATTAGGGGATTGTGAGGGAGTTAGTTCATGAGAAGACGTAGAACCAGTAGAGGAAGACGACGGAGAAGGAGTGGAGGAGACGGATCCGACGCATGGGGTTGGCGAGGGTCATAGAAATTCCGTAAACATTTGTTTTGGAATTAGGGATAGCCGGAAACCCTAGATGAGAGAGAGGATCTGGTAATAAAAGAAGGAAAGGGAAAAGGAAAATGGGAGAAGGAAAGTTTGTTATGGAGATAAACAGAAAGAGAGAGAGGGGGTAGGGGAATGTGGAGACTGATGTTCAAAGAGAGGGGTAGGAAAAAGGTTTATGCGAAGAAGGTTTTTCACGGATGTGGAGATTAGATTTTATAGAAAAAATGTGGGGTTAGTGGGGATGGAAAACGTGGTGTGTGGAATGGAAATTTTGAATTTTGTATAGTTTAAGGGGTTAATGACACCGCGTCATAGCTGGCGGCACATGACGACACAGAGACAGCTATTTTACGCACGCATCCAACTATTTACAAATTTCAACTCTTGCCTTGTCACTTGCTACACTTTTTTTTTTTTTTTCCTTTAACGGGAGTAATTAAAAAGAGTTTTCAAATTCTTTCATTTACTTTATCTCTTAATTTTACAGTTTAATATATATTTTTATTTTTATTTATTTTTTAATTATTTTTAATCTCTATATTTTAAGATATGTTTTTTTTCAGTTTTTATACTTGAATTTTTTTTATATTTTTTTAATCTTTGTAACTTGTACTTGTCTGAGGGTACACTCGTAGTCTTCTTAGTGAGAAGGGCCGAACGGATGTTTCAAACGGACTCTTCAGAGGGGGGAGGTACCTGCCAAAGGTACTCCGACGCTCAAGTTAGGACAAGCACGATATTCTAGGGTAATTAATGAACAGTGACGTACCTTGTTACGTGTGACCTATTTATAATACCTGACATGGGCCTGAATATGGTGGGCCTATTCTAATCTTTACCAAATTAGGTAATACGGTGCTAATCAGCTAATCATGTCTTAATTATGCATTTGTCCTTGTTAACTGTGATTTGTACTATAACCCGTTAACCTATCGGCACATTGTCGAGCCGACAGGCTAATGTTTGGGAGGTTGCACGTCTTCGGCTGTTGACCGAGCCGATACGGTGTATGTGGGGATGCATCATGCTGTTTGCATCGGCCTTAAGCCGAGCCGACATGTGCCAGTTGACTAATCTCGGCCTTCGGCTATAAGTCGAGCCGATGCTAACGTCAGCCTTGGGTATTGTCCAGTTCGCATGGGTGTCCGACGGAACGGCACGTGTTGGTCAACGTGACCGACAGGGTCCTCCCGGTACACAAGCCCCCCAGCCTTGAGGAGTATAACGACGCAAAGGGTAAATGTGACACTTCATTTGTTACCTTTTTTGAGGGTAGGCCAAGGGTTACAACTGCTTCAGGGAAACGAAGGGTTGTAACCGTTGGTCATTAATGACGCACGCGGGGAGTTATGACTAATGAAATATGGAGAGACGTAACCGTTGTCGGAATACCAAGGGTTATAACCGTTGGGTATTAATGATGTACGCGAAGGGTTACGCATCGTGAACCGTTGGATCACTTAGATCCAACGGTGTGCAGAGGGGTGTGACTCTTGGTAACTTGCGGAGACTGCCTATAAATAGGCATGTTGGGGGGTCCTCAAACATACGCATTTATTACTTGCTCCGAGCCGAGATCGTTTGAGTTGCTTCATTCGCATATTCTTCACCAAAAATTGGTCAAGTTCAACACTCAGGTACGTAATGGCAGATTTAAATGTTGTTCATATTGACTCCTCCAGGGACGAGGGTGGTTCTGGGTTGAGGGAGACGCCGGACCGAGACGTCGTATCGGCCTCGGCTTCCAACGGAGAGGATCGTGCAGGGTCCGCACCCAGGTCCGATCGGTCGCAAAGTGGGAGTCACTCTTCATCGGCGATGGCTTCTGATGATCAGCCGAGCCGAGGTGGTGGATCGTCCAGGAGTTTTGCTCCCATATCAACTCCTGGATATTCGTGGGTGCACGGGGAGGTTGGCAGCGTGTATTCACGATACACCGATAAGAACTCCCTGATCCGCTTCGTATCGGCAACGAAGTTCTTGACCTTTCCCGAGGAAGAGGAGCCCTCCGCTATCTTTTTTCAGCCGTGTAGAGGTGATGGAGGGCCGAACCCAGATTTCGTATATTTGGACCAAGGGTCGAGCAAATACCAGTTTTTCTATGTGTATGATTACATGTTCCGGGATTTGAAAATCACTCTACCTTTTGATGATTATTTTGTCAGTATATTGCGCCTACTGAATGTGGCGCCGAGCCAGCTTCATCCCAACACTTGGGCGGCGATGCAAGGGTTTAGGCAGTTATGCTTGGCTCTTGGTATCCGGCCCACTCCGCATCTGTTCCTACACTTCTATTCGTCTCGGCCGACGAAGAAGATTAAGTGGTTGTCCCTGGTTCGGCACAATGATTGCCTGCTACAGCCTTTCACCACCTCTTATAAAAATTTTAAAGTAGGGTTTATGAAAGTGATGATTCGGCCAGAGCCAGGGAACAAGTATTTTTTTGATGCCGAAGGGAGATCATTATTTCCATTGTACTGGACTCGGAAGCCGAGGAAGTACGACACGGTCTCCAAATCCCGAATGTCCCCGGAGGAGAGATTGAGTCTGAATTTTTTGGAGAAGTTGCCTCGGCCTTTGTCGTGCCGTCCTCTGGTCCGGTTGTGTGAATCGACCGACGTAGTTGAAGAATTGATTGGTATAGTACCTTTCTTACTTTTTTAAATTCTTGCGTTATCATTGATTTTGACTAATGATGTGTAGGTATCATGGCGAATCACGGAGAGGACGATTTGGATATTCGCACACTGATCAGGAATCAAGTGGCGGCAACTACTACAAACAGGGCCCCGACCGGTGTGCGCGGGAATCAGCCGTCTGCCCAAGGTAGTGGAGCGGGGCCAACAGTCAGGCCGAAAAAACCCACTCGGCCCCAGCCTGAGAAGAGAAGGCCTGACCCCAGGGCCGAGGAAGAGAGCCGTCGGGCCAAGCAGCGCCGAGTGGTGAGTTCACCTGTTCCGAAAAGCTTGGCTGGACCGAGTTTTCTGGCCGGCAATGTCAACACTCAGGATTTTTTGAGCCAAGACTTGACCTCCGAATCGGGTCAGGGGGTGCTGAGTCGTATGACCTCGACTCAGAAATAGAGCTTCTTCTGTGAATTCCAAGTGCGTGTTGTGGCTTTAGCCCAAAGCATCGTGATGGAACCGAATGGCGAGGCCGATGGGTTGCGTCGGCAGCTAGCTGAGCAGGAGAAGTCTCTTCAAGAGACGTTGGCAGCGCTTATTGATGCCCAAACTGTAACAGCCCAAGCAACCCGCATGAGGATATTGTCCGCTTTGGCCCACGGCCGCACGGTTTTGCTCTTGGCGATGACACGCATGCCACCCCAAAAGGCCTCCTCACAAGGAAGGTATCCACACCCATATATATGGCATGCTTCGTTCGCCTTCCTAACCGATGTGGGACTATATCCACCCCCCCTCAAGGGAGTCCAGCGCCCTCGCTGGCACACCGATCCGGGCCCCGGCTCTGATACCAATGTAACAGCCCAAGCAACCCGCATGAGGATATTGTCCGCTTTGGCCCACGGCCGCACGGTTTTGCTCTTGGCGATGACACGCATGCCACCCCAAAAGGCCTCCTCACAAGGAAGGTATCCACACCCATATATATGGCATGCTTCGTTCGCCTTCCTAACCGATGTGGGACTATATCCACCCCCCCTCAAGGGAGTCCAGCGCCCTCGCTGGCACACCGATCCGGGCCCCGGCT